GTTGTTATGTGGTTATTGAGTACAATTTTCAGCAATAATCCGACGATTTGATGAGGAAGAGGAGTCGGCAGGAAATGATCGGGATATGGCCATTAGGGATAATACTCGAAAGGGAACCCTGGGGAACAGATGGAATTATATAGCGAGGGCAAACCGGCAGACGGCAGCTCAGCATTACCTATTATCCATTAACCACACTTACAGGATTTGTACGAGGCACAATGAGATATAGCACGTAATTAAGGACGTGTTGTCAGGGGAAATGTGTGATGTGAGTGATGTATGGAAGGATCACGTGTACGTTTGCAGCTTTACTTTAACCAATTTCTGGATTTGTACTGCCCGTAATGGAATATTGGAAGTAATTTTAGTTTATAGGATTGATTCAGTATGCAGTAAAGGCGTGAGAAATTCACCATTTTAGACGGTTAACGAACGAGTCGGGGATTTATTTAGCAGTTAGCGAGTTTCCAAGACGTGGCTCTTCGCCAAACGCAATTTGTCGCGGCGGCGGCCTCCTAACCAGGTAAGGTCTTATCCGTTCGGCGTCGCGACGCCAACCGACGCTCCGTCGAAACAAAATTACGCCAAGCGCCGGCCGAGAGGTTTTGTAAGAGGATTAACGGTGACAGGGCGAAACTAATTAGGGCGCAGCTCTTTTGAAGCGAATGGCGCCCTCTCCTTTCCGGACCTTATAGAGGTTTAGAAGTAACCTTAAACTTAACGACATTATTAAAATGCGCTACGCCTCCGCTGAGAGCACGAAAACAGTTTTGTTCGTTCCCTAATTGAAATTAAAGTTTTCGGACGGGCGTAATTAAATTTTCAGCCACTTTACTCATTGTGTTATTATTGTTAGCGAAAGTGTATTTCGTTATTTTACAATAAATCGACAAGAAAAGCATAAACGGGAGGTCGTAAACATTTCGCTTATAAACTAACACGCGTCTACTTTGATTGATATACGTTCCTATAAATTGAATGTTTATTCCATAAACGCCGTTGCGTATTTATAAATCAGTCTGGTAATCCTCCGAAATTATTCACTCGTAAATTTAGACTAGTAAAACCAATTTCTAGATGATTTCACCGAGCTTTAATCTTCATATCTTTTTTAATTTTTGAGAAAATCATAAAGTTAGAAGTATTATATCAAACGATAAATTTATTAGGTTAGGATTCTGAAATTTTAATGAATCCCATTTGAAATATAAACCAGATTAATTGTAGACTATTAAACATACCGTAATGTTTTATGCTCTAATTTCATAACAAAACCATTACTTTGAATAAAAAAGTAAAATTAAAACGATCGCATACAAGTCGTTTATTTTAGTTAGTTGCAACTGTTGACTGTTTTCGATTTAGAAGTTTGCCAGAGGGTAATGTTTTCCCGTTATGGCCAATACGGGGGGCGTAATACACGTAATAAAACTTCCTTTCCAACAACAAACGCACAATAGAACTAATGGAGATGTTATGTTTGGCCGGGTCGTTTTATATTTATGCTGGGAACTTCGCGCACTCGGGAAGCACGTTATAACTACACAATAGACTTCGGAAACGGTGTAGCCTTTCCGAAATCCGGGAGCCACAGTAGAGGTTGTTGAAATGGGTTTATTTGTGTTTCAGTTTCGTGTTTTAGTACAAGTGTTTATGCGAATCTTTCAGATCTGGTTCTCGATTTCTTATAGGAATTGGATCATTTCAATGAAAGCGTTTGAAATGAACTAGAGCGTGGAATAGAAACGAGAACGTGAATTCAAACCAGCGGCGGTCGATATCCAGTACTCCAGTAGCCGTGATCGTCTAGTGGTTAGGACCCTACGTTGTGGCCGTAGTAACCCAGGTTCGAATCCTGGTCACGGCAATGTGAAAGAACATTGTCACGGAGGAGGTATACTTTTTATCAAATTTATTGACATAAAAACTTGTCCTTCAAGTAATTTTTATCCATGATTCACGTGTCTGATTTTTTTTGACTAGTTTTAAGTAAAAATGGCATCTTTTGTTCTTTATCGCTTTATAAACAAAACAAACTCTAGTATATAGAATTCGCGACTGCTTAAATACACCATTGGAGCATCAAAAAGAAATGCATAGAAAAAAGTATGTAACTTAACTTCAAATTACGTACACTTTACGATTTTAAATTATCAAGTCCTGCTATGGTACTGCACCTTCATCGCTAATAAACTAATAGATGTACATATTTCAAATTGCAGTTCCACTTAACAGTTGTCAGATCGTCTTCCGAATCCAACTCGAACTAAGTTTCCATGAACAGGTAGAAATTGATTCCTTTTTTTGGAAAGTAATTTTTTTCAAATCGACTCATTTCATCCCTGAAAATTTTTAGCATAACTTTTCACCTACGCCGAGAAACCGGTTCACTTGCGAGCGTGCGCTTCAGTATGAACAAGTAACACACCAAATTGTTGTAGAGGAAGAGAACACCTTTGTCTATACATCTACACATTCAATGATCTCCAATAGACATGAAGAATGTTGAACAAAAATCTGATGTATCTATACCATTCAGAAATTCAACATATGATTCCAGAAGATTTCCCGAGGCGATATTATGACTCAAAGTATAACTATATTTAAAATCGTCACGCTCACATATAAAATTATGCAGTACACTTTTGCATATGGCAAAAATTTTTCATCGTAAGGTGTTCGTAAACGTCCTGATAAGGCACCTCCATATCAAATAAATGTAAATGGTATGGGTACTCCGTTATCAGATAGAAGTCTTAGGTTTGGTATATTATAATTTCTATAATTTTGAATCCACTTACTACATTAATTTATTGTTGAGTCTACAGTTTCCAATAACATTTAACGTCGTGTTTTTAATTGAAATGTTCCTTCTATAACCTTACTAACTTAGGAATCTTCGGTTGTTTTTTTAGTCATTCAGTAATGTTAAGATACGATTCTCTAGGTTCTGGAACGTAGTGTTTGTCACGGGTTCTTTGGAATTTACGTTCCATCTTCTCTATGGTTATTCTATCTATTTTATGCCAGTCTTTTGCAGCCATAGAATTGGAAAGTACGAGGTGGTGTCGTACTAACCTTTCACTTATTTGCTGCGGATCTCTGAAAGTCTTGAGAATTCTTTCCCATATTAGTGCTTGTTTTGTTCTAATCAATATATTACAGGCCCTAGCAGAGTCGATATGCTGCTTCACTTTGAGGAAGTTTGACGTTATTTTCTTCTCTATACATCTCCCTAAGAATTCTTGCGTTGTCTAATCCGTAAGTTGTCAAATTCTTGATTTGTTAACTTGTTAATTAGAACTAACACTAGAATTAAAATCTTTCAAAACATCTTCTGAAAATATTACTTTTACAGTTTCACGTACTAGTTTTTGTCCAGTAATTATTCCACATTTAAAGTCATAGTGAATATCAGAACATGGCATCAAATGATTTTTCATAAAAATGGACAACTTTCGAATCTACGATTCTCTCATTTAATAATCAGAAAATGTCCAGTTTTGATCTTGTCAAGTATCTTAATTACCTCACTTGGTAGCTTGTTCATTATGATTCAGCAAAGTAGGAAAATTTATCTAGGAACTGACTTCCATATTTTTGAGCACCAATATTGTGTGGTGTAATGAAGCTGCTCATTAACTAGACGAGGTTTTACACGATAATACGAAAAGTCACTCCACACAGTGTGCTCAGCTTTTTTGCTTTTGTAGCTGTTGAATCTGTGTATTGGAGTGTCGATAAAAACGATCTTCGTGCTTTAATTTCCTCTTTGATGGAATTCACGGATGGAATTTCGAACGTACTACGGGGCATCTAGATAGTCTTGAATTTTTTCAAATCGTCAGAATTTAGCCCTGAAAACTTTTAGCACACCTTTTCATGTTCTCCGAGAAACCGATTCACTTACGAGCGTGCGCGAACACTCTTAAAAAGACCCTGAGAAAAAGAGACACCCTTGTGATGGCCCTAGCGCAATCTCAGTGTTTGTACGCGCCGGATATCCACATATTTAATGATTCTCAATATCATGGTATGAATAACATTGAACAAAAACCTACTGTACATCTAAGTCTAGAAGATATCCCAAGGCGGTTGAAGTTTTTTGATGGTGAATAACAATAGCAATTTGCATCGCTGCAAATCATCATCACAAGACATCACATTTGGCCAGCTAGGTCTCCAACCTCAATCCACTGTGTCAAGAACTTGTGAGGTTGGATAAAAGATTTGGTGTACCAACGGAGAATGAAAACACAGAGACTTTATCTAACAAATTTTGAACGTTGCAATGCAAATAAGACAACCGCGCAAATATGAGAAATACAATGCGAGCAATTCACCGTCATGCAGACAAATGTATTGAAGTAGGATGTAGAACTTTTGGACATGTTTTGAATTAATCATGTACTGTTATTAGTATTACAGAGGCAACTTCATTAAACACCTTACATAGCCTTAGTATTATTATGTTTTGAAAGATGTAGTTGTCATTACAATTTTGACATTATTTCAAATATTATAGTTGTACTTTTAAAGCACTTGAATATTTTACATAAAATTTTCATTTTTCAAAGTTTCCATACTATGTTGACCATTGAGTATAAAGACAATCAGTAACCGCACGAGATGTCACCAGCAGCGCAGAGGTCAGATATCCGCTACGCGAATCCGGAAGTCAAAACCACGAACCGACACTCGGTGATAAACGGTCGGTCGCCTCACGTGATATATATTTTCGTCGGGGTACCGCGAGCTTTGAAAGTTTTGAAATACGGCCCCTAGAATCGCCAGACTAAACACACGCCGCCATTCCCAAGGACTTGCTCGTGACATGGAATAAGGGGCGTGTACAAACCGTCCTCAAACTGACAGGAGACATCTGTTATATAATTAACATGTTGTTTTTTGGACACTACGTCCGCGTACAGTTGGAGGAATAGAAAGGGGAGTGTCAAAGGGTATAAATTTGAACGTTAGTTCCATCGGAAGTCATAATGAAATTTTTTTTGGTGTATGTTTTTATCTTGGCGAAAGTGCATGGAATTGGTAGAAAACCGTCTTTGAGGATTGTGGCAGGATTCGATTGTAATCCAGTTGAGTATCCATTCTACGCCCTTGTAATAATAAGTTCTAACAAAGGGAATAAGATATGTGGCGGATCTTTGGTTGCTCCAAATTTTGTTCTGACAGCGGCTCATTGTTGCGTTGAAAATGATACTAAACGATATAATATTCAAACGGGGACAGAGAGTATTGATGGAAAATTTGATTATAAAGTAAATGTTACTGATATTTATATCCATGCTAAATATGATCCAAAGGAATATAATTATGATGCTTGTATGTTGAAGTTACATATGCAAATTTGTAAAAGGCAGTCGACGGATTACTTAGATATCGCCTTCTTTGATTATTCAAAATTTAACATTCTAACTCAATGTTCAAGAGTAATTAGTGCGGGATTTGGCGTTCAACATAGAAACGAACGGAAAGGTATACTTCAAGATCATTTTCCATTTCCCAAAAAAAATCTCCAATGTACTTTATTAACATTGTTGAGTAATAAAGAATGTTCTAAGTTTTGGAAAAAGGGATTTTACAACGATACCATGCTATGCGCAATTGATCCTACTCCAAGAAAAAGTGATGTTTGCTATGGGGATAGTGGAGGTCCACTAATGTGTGGTGATATACAAATTGGAATTATTTCTTATAGCCGAGGATGTGGATTTAACAACACACCTGGAGTTTTTACAAAAGTATCCAAAATTAAAGATTTTATATTAAATATTTTAAAAGATGATTATAATTATCTTCAACTATCATTTAAAAAATCTTTAGGTACGAAATTATTTATGACATCACATTATTATTTTTTAATTATTGTGATATTTATGAGTGTTTAAAGAAATAAATCGAAGCTGTATTGAATTTAGTGTTTAGTTTTAATTTTATTAAGATTAATGTTACCTCATAAAATGCTTTAGGGTCGACGTAGATAGCAAATTCAGTTAATCCGCTTAACCCAATTGCCTCAGCAGTAGCCGTAAGTTCCGATTACAACGATAACGTCATCTTTAATTGCTTGGAGGTGTGTTTATTGTTTACCGGCAACAAATGGACCACAATTCACTGATTAAACGACCTTTGTGGTATCATAATGAAAATGTTTGTTCGGTTGTATAGATACTTTACATGAATTTAAAAAAATCCATAAAAAGAGCGTTCATGGGATATAACTCGTCCAAAGGGAGTCGAACAATGGCCGAAATACTGGTCCATAAACTCGAAATTCGCGGTGGACAATTGGTTTTGACGCAAATGCGAGGTTTGTCCGGGTCGACCAATAAAAGAAAATTTATCTATTATACAATTGCGGCCGTGGCTCGACTCGTTGGTACGGATTTACGCCCCCGTGAAGGCAAATTTTATGTAACCTCCTCGTAACCGACATTCGTTAATTAATATTTTTGACCAATGTCACCGTGGATTGTTGTGTTTACAACGCCGCTGGCGTGTAAACGCAGATTGCGAATAATAATGCATTTTAACGAGATAAGCCGCCCGTTTGCGGTACACCAAATTCGAAACACCACGCGATTGTTATTGTTACTAAATTCGCGCAAAGGTCGCCAAAGAAAATCAATATCGCAAAATTGTCATTGCGTCGTGACTTCATTACATGTACTAGTAGTGGAGTTTATTAAGTACGTCCATCAATTTCAAACAATTCTCGTGGGTTTCGACCTCGAGGTGTCAATAGACTACCCGTAAACGTGATGAACATTCCATTCTCAAGGACCAGGGGGCAGAAAACCTCAATATCCGTTCTGGGCGGACGTTAAACAATGTCCTTGTTGAATTTAATACACAACGGCATTCGGCTAAAACCGAACCAACTTGTTCGATCCTACACCCCAAAGGCAGGTGCTTCCAGGCAAACATGACTATGGACGCGACATCGACAAACAATTCCCAAACTAATACCGCTTGGTAATTAGCACGCATAGTTCTGTAAACATGACGTTCGCGTATTTCGCCCAAAGCGTGTGTATTGCTTAACTAGAATATTACGAATTGTGTTTTCAGTCCATTAAAGAAAATGCGCTATAAATATTTTATTAGGTGTGTTTCAAACCATACCGTTATCAATCGTTTCGAGAGTTTACCCAGCAACGTTTTTGCATGAACAATTCCACAAGAAGGTTTCCTAATTGTGCCTAGTGCGTATTTTACGAGAGACCCGCATCAATCTTAACTTAAACAGTTTAACTTCGTCGCAGTTGTTCTTACTCTTGTAGGAATTCGCCTCGACGGTTTCTTCGGCCGAAACGCGTCGCAATCAACAAGGCGGCCATTATAAGTTGCCAACTACAAGCCAACTACAATTAACTTAATTGCATCACTTAATAAAAGCTTCCAGCCAGTTTCATTGGACGGTAGGTGAAGTTGCAGCGACGCCAACCGGCTAGATTAATAGTTAAAAGGGAACCGCGCCAAAGACGAAAAGGTTCATTCAAATGAACTTCCCTTTTACGAAGTGTACGGTGTCATCCGGTTTTATCCCCCGTCGGTAATATATTTCCGGAAATCGCGCGCCTATCCCCGAACCTTAATATGTCTAAGTGAGTCCAAGGAGGATGTGTAAGGAATGAGAATGGCCATCGAAGTAAAAAAAGGGCGGGTTGATTACATTGTTGCGTGTGCAGTTGTGGTAGTAGTGGTACAGGAAAAAACATAGGCCTGCACTTAGAAGATTGTGTAGTGAAAAAAAGTGGAAAGCAAAGGGCCAGAATCTCTCCAGTGTCCGGGGTATAATTTAAGGGAAACTAAGTAGTCCGAAACATCCTTTTTCCATTAAGGGAAACGCAATTTTATTGGAAAAAGTTTATAAATTTATCATTTATCGATTGAAATTCAGTTTCGTTTTGGGCGAGTTATATTAGATTCGTTTAACAATTTAGAAAAACGGTTAGAACCGACTTAGGATATAACGGATAAAAATAAATATTACCTATTTAATACATCAGTATACAGGCTGGTCCATTTAACGTGAGACAAGCGATTAACTCGAAAACGGTTCATTTTACATAAAAGTGAACCAAATAAAAGTTGTTCTGTGCGAAGGGGGAAACCATATGACGATAACATTTTTGACCTTGACCTTATTTTCAAGGTCGCATGAAGGTCACGGCCGATTTTTTAAATGGCACCCTATATATTTTATTGTAAAATCTGAATCTGTGGATAAAAGTAAAGTAATTGAAAAAAAAAAAAAATTTACTGTGTGGTTTTGCCAGTACAACGGTAAAACATCTTTTGAACAAAGTTGAAACTTTTTCAGAAAGAATTAAGTAACGTTTATATTCTAGCAAGAACAAATAAGATTTATGAATTTTTAAACATTTTCCTACCCACTTCGATACATTATCTTTAGCTCTTAATTCTTAGAATACTATTTAAAAATGCTCAACAAAAAAAAATCCGGAAGAGGTACATCGAGTGACCTGGCTCGGAAATACCTTTGGAAAGAAGTCTAAAGGGTTCCGACTTTGATAATAGAATAACGCATAAAAACAAGAGTGAAGAGGAACTGCAGAGACTGAAGAGACTTAATTAGTTGAATTGTTCTAAAATGTAACAGGTAAAACTAAATTTGCATAAAAACTTTTGTCTACAAAAGATGTTTCGCCGTCGTACTAGCCACACGGTAATTTTTTTTTTTAATTATTTTACTTTTATCCATAGATTCAGATTTTGCAATCAAAAACATAGGGTACCATTTAAAAAATTGGTCGTGACCTTCATATGCCCTTGTAAATAAGGTCAAGGACAAAAAATGTTATCGTCATATGGTTTCCCCTTTTTGCACAGAACAACTTTCATTTGGTTCATTTTTATGTAAAATTATTAAACCGTTTTCGAGATAATCGCTTGTCTCACGTGAAATGGACCAGCCTGTATGTAAATATAAATGTTAGCGCTCATAGATAGAATCCAACTCGGATTATTCCCCAAGTTGCTCTATTCAATGATCATAGATAAACTCGGGGTATTCCCCTAGCTGTCTATACGATGCATAAATCAAGGGCGGTAGTTCTATCTTATTTTTAACTAAAAGTAGGACTAACACTACAACTAGAACTAGAAACATTCGAGTTTAACACTAGATATCACTATGTTGCATACTTTTATTGAACTAAAACTAGAACTAATACTAGACCTAGAACTAGAAACATTCGGGTTGGGTTGGGTTGGGTATGAAGACGCACGGCTAAACCCGAAACTTACTCGTTCTAGGTCTAGTATTAGTTCTAGTTTTAATTGTAATTTACCGATAGAATTAAAAAAGTAGTATCAAAAGTTATCGATTAGGTTGAAAACAAAAATAATTGGTGAAAACTCAATATAACTATGACTATGATGGAATATTAAAAATAATATAGACAGCTACCATACACTTAAACTTCTTTTCGAAATTTAAGCTAATGTATTTAGGTACACTATACAATATATAATTCATCTACCTACCTTGTAAATAATAGAATTATACTTAATCTTATTATTACTTTTCTTCAGTTGTTAATAATTGAGCCATTGAGTTAGTGTATTCACGGAAAGTTTTGTGCACGTATAAGTTTTCAAACAAAAGTGGAATCAGCTCGGAAAGTTAGCGAGTGATGGAAGATTTGTATGCGGACGCGTTGATACAGTTCCGTTTGTTAGCGCATCTCTGGCGCCTCCACCGTCCTGATATATTTGTAGGACTCCAAATTTACCTAACTTCGCCCTCGGAAACTTAGCCGGCCGCCGACGTTTTAAGTGTAACAATGGAAACGGCGCATTGTTTAGTTGCTGACGGCGTAATTGAATGTATACTTAAGGAGCGGAATGGCTCTTGGACCGAAGTTTCTTAATAAGATTCCCGTTTCTGTATATAGTCGCATTATAATATCTGTATAACTCCGTTTGTGCTAGCTGTGCTATAAACGAAGTAATTTAACCGGTATTGTTTGGAGCGAAACAACGTGGCAATCAAGTAATCGTAATTCATACGACGCCCATCGACTACAATCAGCACCATCGTTTTGGTAGACAAATTACACGTCATCGCAAATCGAAAGTACATTGGTTATTAATCATCGTTCGATATTGCGGTTTAGATATCGTTCTCTGAACTGGCAGGGTTTGGCGAAATACTACAGAATATTGGACTAATGCTTCCCGAGATCCATTAATTCAATGTCGGCTGCACTGACATTTAAATGTTGATTACTAAACTCCTTTCAGTTGCTGAGACGTCTATCGTTCCAAATGTAAATCTCAATCAATAAACTCATCATCAAACAACTGCCAATCATCAACACATCCATAAGTCATATTAAAGAATTATCCCCATTGTCTTTACCGGAATATATTAATGGATTATTGAATTACAGAAACTCGATGCGGTAGCGTCCATAACCAATACGAGATTTCAATAACGCTGATTACGTAGGAATTCCAAACAATCCGCAATCACGGCACGTCAACTGACGTCATTTCCCGCGTCGCGTTTCAGGTCGTCGGATTTATCATCATCGGTACGTCCCAATCGCCGAACCGTGTCTGTCACCTCGGATGACGGATGACGGACGACACGCGCTAGCCACGTAACATCGTTCCCGTCCAAACAAATGACCGTAATAGATCTCCCCCATTTAGGGTGACGCTGCCGTCGAAAATAGAAACCTCGAAAAACGACGCCGCTACGTTATCGCCACGTCGATTAAAAACAGAATACTTTAAGTAGCTCTAGATGTTTACTGACATTTTTTCTATCTCGCATCTGGTTACTACTAAAATATATTAAGAGGGGTGTATGAAGATTTAAAAAAAAGTTTTGCAGCAAGAGAGAAAAGGGAATACAGTAAAACTATACTTATACTATTAATATTATCTATGTAGTACTCAGAAATGGAACACAGCAAATCGAGTAAAACTAACACTAGACCTAAA